GAAGGCACTCCCGAACTCGTCTCGCCGGACCGCACATTTTTCCGGCCACCGTCGCCGGATCCGGTGAACTTTTCTGGCGACCATTTTTTCCGGCGAACGAGCACCCACCGAGTTTCCAGTTAGTATTTTTGAGCTTTTCTTGTCATATGCCATCGATTTCTTTCGTTTGGTACCTTTTCCGGCGACCGGATCTCCGTTTTTTTTTCTTCTATATTTCTCCATTTTCGAACTCCGGCGACCGTTTTTCTCGAAAAATAAAATTTTCCAAAGTCCAACGTCTCGATTTCGATTTGTATTTTCGTTCCTTCATTCTATGCGTTGTGTTTGGATCACTACTCTTGCCGGAGTAGTCATATTGAGATAATTGGGTTAGATTTGTGTGTTTAGGCACGTCTTGCCGGGCGTGCCACATATACGTGTGTTTTTGTCGGGAGTTTGAGTTGTAGGTCCCTACTTACGGCAAGCGCCGGTAATCGTCTATGCATTGCATACAATGGAGTTCGTTGTGTCGGACCATGGCGGGGATCGACAAGGACTTCGAGGCCCGATTTTTGCGCTTTCACGTGAACGTGTGTCTACGTCGAGTTTATGCATTCATGGTGACTATCTCTCCGAGACACACAGACATAGCCTCTCTCGGTTCATGTACTCAATGTTAAACCGTTCGGATGGCTCAAGTTCCCGCTCGATGGCCTTCGGGTGACCTCCTCTATTCCCTCCGGACAACCACTATTGGACACACGGTGGTGACGACCACCGTGTAGAGTACGCATTGTCTTTTCCTATTTTCTCTTTCTTTCTTTGTTTGTTGTGTGTCTTTGTGTTAGTTCGTCTCGTTTCTTTATTTTTGTATTTCGTTTTCGTTTTTATCGCATGAACTTACGTGATTATGTGCCTTTTCCTATGCTTTTTGGTCAAGCAATGAGGACATTGCTTTGTTTTAAGTGTGAGGGAGGGATTTTCGTGATTATGCATGTTTAGGTGATGTTCTCTTTGTTTTTGTGCCTTATTTTTCGTATTTGTTGTGTCGTGGACCGATTTTATTTGAGTTTTTGTGTGTTTGTGTTATCTCTCCCGCATGAAACTTGATATTTGTTCGAGAGTCGAGATAGCTAAGTGGTGAGTCGAGATTATTGATTGGTTTCACTATTAGCGTTCATGCTTGATGTACTTGATGAATTTGACGGTTTCCTTTGATTGATTGATGATTCGTTGACATTGCAACTCGCATGTGGATTAAAGGAATTGTTTTGTCCTTTGTTTGTTCTCGATTAGTTGTCTTGAGGCATGCTTACCTTATGTTCGATTATCGTTGTAAACGTGTTATCTATACACTTGTGGTACATTTCGATCGAGTTGAGATGATTATGTATTGTAATTGTGATGTATCCTTGTGTGCCTCTCCCTAAAAAAAAAAAAAAAGAAAGAATAAAAAGTGAGTTCGCGAGGAAGTACGGATTAGGCTCCTCTTATTCCGAGCCATTCGTGGATTGGGATAATGAGCCCGGAAACCGGTTTAGGAAACTCGGGGAAACCCCTCGAGGTTAAACCTAGATCATCTCGTTCGGAAATCTCGTTTGGAAAAAGAAGCTCACGAAATGAGTTCGTGGGAGTCGAAAGGATTAGGCTCCTCTTGGCTCGGTTAATCTTCTAGATAGATCGGGTCAACGAGCATGGGAAACCGGCCTAGGCGACTCGGGGACAAACCCCGAGGTTAAACCTAGGTAATAATTGTCCTAACGGCTCTCATTTGGAAAAAGTGGCTTATTTTAATAAAAAAAATAAAAAAAAAAGAAAAGAAAATTGGGGAGTTGGCTTATTGATCTCGTGTTTATTATTTCATGTTTTGTAGATCATTTATGGTTTTTGCACGTATATGTGAATGAGGGAGTTTGACTCAAGTGATTATTCGTGGAATGACTTGAGACGAGTTTTTGTTTCGTTTGATTCGTTATGTGGGGACCGTGTCTCGGATTGGATTTTGATTTTGGGATAACCGGATGATAATGAGAGTTTCATTTTGCATGTTCGTTAATTTTGGCCCGTTCGATATATCTCTTCGAGCTATTTGCTATTTTGTTTGCTTGAGGACAAGCAAAAAGGTAAGTGTGGGAGAGTTGTTTGTTATGTTTTTGTGCTTATTTTTATGTGTTTATATGTGTGTTCGAGTCGGTTTTAGGTTCGTTTTAGTGTCGACCGGTCCATTTTATCGTTTTTCAAGTGTTTTTGTTTTTTCTCTTTTACTTTATATTTTGGCGTACTTCTCCGTGCTTTGTTGTGAAATTTCAGATTGTTCGGAGGATAGAGAGAAGAGTCGAACCGCGAATCCCGAGAAGTGTCGAGCCATTCGCACGAACCATTTTGAACTGAGAAGTTGAAGCCTTAGCCGATTCAACCGAATTCGTCCAGTCGAGAGTCCCGCGTGCTCGCCGAGAGAATCGCGCCATCGAGAGTTCCAGCCGCTGTTGCCCAATCGTCGCACGCGAGCCCGCTGCCTTTTCCACGAGGTCTAGAGCTTCCCGCCACCTTTGCTAATCGTCGCTCGCGAGCCCGCTGCCTTTTTCGCGAGGTCGAGAGCCATCACCAGCTGTGCCCGCGTGCTCGCCTAAGGATCCGCGATGTCGAGAGTGGTGCGTGCCATCATCCAGCAGACTCGCGCGGTCGCGGATACGCACACGATATCGAGAGCCTCATTTCCCATGTGCGCTCGTGCATTTCCTTCATGCGTGCTCGCGGATTCCGTGGCTTGGTCGAGAGTGTCCCATTTTAAACTGCGTTTTTTAGTGTGTGTTTTGAGTAGAGTATAAATATTTTTGTTCCTTTGCATTTTGAGCATTCAATTCTCTCATTTTTCACTTTTCCTCTTTGGGAAATTAGTTTATGTTTTATTTTTGCTCTCTAGATTAGGAGCTTATGCTATTTTCCGGGAGATTTTCCGGCGACTTCGGTTTCGTTCAAGTTTCGAGCTTTTGACTCCGTTTTTCATCGTCTACGCAATGGGAGATTGAGTATTTAATTTTAAAGCTCTTTACTTCATTTTTGCTCTGGTTTTACTTATAATGTTCATTAGAGTAAATTGGATTTGATTGATGATGGTGGAAATGCTTGAACTTGATTGCTTGCTTGAGTAGATAGAGCAGTTAATTACTTATTGATCTCGGTTAGACGACTAGGGTTAGCAATCTAATGCTCGTAGCTCGTTTATTTCGTATGTCGATTGATTATCATCCCGTATTGGTTATGGCATGAGACTCCGGTAATCTAGTTTGCTAAATGCTCGCCTTTTGATCTTGCTTTCAATTAATTGCTCGTTTTTAAGTGTTCGATTAGTGTTAATCAACCATCCAACCAATTGTTTAGAATGTTTAGGATTTTATTTTCCACTTTTTGTGATTTGGACGATCATCTAGTAGACACAGCTCCGAATAGCCTTCCTTCGAGATCGACCCGAGTCAGGTAGCTCGGTTATCCCTTGCCCATCAAATCTATACTAAACAAACATGTAGAACTCCAACAAGCTTGGTTCACCAATGTTGAGCTCTCCCCCTCTATCTAAGCTCAATGGGCCCCCTTACACTGATGGCATGCTTTACTGACAACTTATAGGTAGTCTCCAATACCTAACAATCACCAGGCCAGATATTACCTTTGCAGTGAATAAACTCAACCAATTTATGCAATCTCCCTTGGACATTCACTGGTAATCCATCAAAAGACTTCTCAGATATTTAGTAGTCACTGCAGGTTATGGACTAATGCTTTATAAGTCCAAGCATCTTCATGTTTCAGCATTTTCAGATTCAGATTGGGCTTTAGATCCAGATGACAGGAAATCAACATCGGGTCATTGTATTTTTCTTGGCTCAAATCTCATCTCTTCGAGTTCGAAAAAGCAACATATTGCCTCTCGGAGTAGGATTGAAGTTGAGTATCGAAGTTTAGGGCATGTTGTTTTAGATGTTCTCTGGATTAACACTTTGCTCAAGGAATTGCACATTTCTCAGTCCATTGCTCCTACTATTTGGGTGGATAATCTAGCGGTTGTCTTTATGTCTTGTAATCCAATTATCCAGGGTAGAACCAAACATATTGAAGTTGATCTCCACTTCATTAGAGAAAAAGTGCTTAACAAGTCAATCTCAGTTCTTCATGTCCCTACTATTGATCAGACCGCAGACATATTCACTAAACCTTTAACTGGGCAAATTCTTCCATCGCATGAGGAACAAGCTTCATGTTCTCCCTCTAAGCTCACTCGAATTGAGGGGGGATGTTGGAAATATTCCTTCCTCTGCTTGGTCAACAGTGGCCCGATCATCATCCACCTCAGCTTCAGTCATTGACGTGGAAAGAAGCACATGCACTCCCATGCATTTGCCATGCACCTGAAAGACGTTAACAATTTTTGGATTTTTGTTCAGCTTTACAGCTCATTCTTGTACTGTCTAATCCTTATCCATATAGTTCCAGATACTTCTAATGTAGGATATAAATATGTGACTTATGTATTTTCGTCCATCATCATCTTCCTAAGCAAGAAATACCAGTTTTGCTTTTCACTGCTATTTTGCAGATTTCATTTGTTGTTTCTTCTTTATGTTCAAGTTATGATTTGTTTTGAATCCAACACCTAGGTACGGGCCGGATACATGACCGTGTAAAAAAAATTGACTTATATTACTTAACTATATTGATAACATTGAAGATAGTCAGATTTGGTTTAAGTTGAATTAAATTTGAGTATGAACTGAGTATGAGTAAGAATTTATTTGTATACAGAGTACAAGTCTCTGACATTAATCACCAACAATTAAGGAAAACCACAAAACAATCACTCATATCAATCCAACACACAAAACAATCACTCTCACTCATATCAATCCAACACACAAAACAATCACTTGAACAATTAAACAGATCTAAGAATGAGTCGTAACTCAAACCCATATCATGCATGATCTTTCATACTTTTCCCCCCTTTTTTTGTTTATTTTTTTTAGTTACTTCTTGCTCAATGAAATTACTATATTGAAAAGCGACGGCTCCTCCTTCAACTTCGACAGGTGTTCGGCCATTTTCTTCGCGTACCTCGCGAATAAATCATCGATGATAGATTTTCCAAAATGAGAAGCTAAAATTGGCTCGGAAAATGCACGTACACGAATCGAAGCCAGCCTCCCTCTTTCGAATTTGTCGACTCCCGCTTCATAATCGTTGCCATGCTTAACATGTGATGAGTCCCAAGGGACGAAAAAGCCCTCGAGCCTATCCAAGTTAAACGACCCGTGTTCACGAACAAGTGTCTCGACTTCTTGTTTGCTCGGTGTGTATACAGGGAAGTTGAATGAATGCAAGTCGACCTCCTTGACGAGCCCCTATATATATATACATTATAAAATCGCCGGTCAATAAATTAATTATTTTAAAAATAATAGCAAAAACGATATATATACGCGCGCGTCGCATATTTACCTCTTGGACCATGTCAAGAAGTGTATCGGAGAGCAGTCTGAGGTGCTGCTGTTCATCTTTTGCCGAGGTGCTCTCGACACTTCTACCGACGAACGTTAGGACCATTCGGGCCCCAACAACCATTTCGACCGCACGTGACTCGAGAAATGTGGTGAAATCTCTCTTAAATTGGCTGTAATAAGCTGCAAAAACATCAGGGGGACTTGCCATGGCCAGGTGTATGTTTTCCCTATTATTCTCCAATCCTTGTGGAACCTTGTAAATAAAATAAATAAATTAATACCATCAAATTTAAAAAAATAAAAATAAAAATAGTAAGCCAATAAAATTATCTTTTCATATATCATGCTGCTCATGTACTCAATAAAGTATTTATGAAGAATACTTTATTTAAAAGCATTAAACTTAAAGTACCTGAGAGAGCCATTGAAGACCAAATGATGAGTGAACAAAGTTGAGGCTGTTGCGTGGGACTAATCTCCCATAAAATGAGCCTGGCAAGCCATATATAAATGTTTTGGGCCTTTGACTAATAACATCCATATTATTTGTGTTCTCATGATTATTATTAAGCTTTTGATAGAATTCAGGCAACATCATGAAGACGTTGTTGAAGTCATTTCCCGGTAGGTCGTTCAGAAACACTTCGAGCTCGGGTCCAAGCCCGTACCCATTTTCCTTGCAAAGCTCCTCGATTTTGCCGATTATGCGCCAGATGACGAAAAGGGCGTTGGGCCCAGACGAGCAGCCCAAGTCGGCCACCCTGAACAAGTGTTCCGGAGAGAAAGCGGTCGTGTGATTGCTAAACATGTCTTTGAGGGTCTCCTCCAAGACATGCCATGCTTTTAGTATCCCATTTTTCTGCACATAATATGGAAAATGTGAACTTCATGGGATAAAAATTAGCCACTTTATGCACTTGAAAAAAATTACAAAAAAATAAATAAATAAATAATAATAAAAAAAAGATGTTTCCAAAGAAATTGGTTGAAGACAATTGAGTGTGAACAATTATGTTAATAAACATAAATGTTAAAAAAATGTTGCACCAAAAAAAAAAAAAAAAAAAAAAAAAAAAAAACATAAATGTTAAAAATACATTATAAGTGTGTTTGGTAAGTAGCATAAGCTAACTTATATCTTATTTAGTTAACTTATAATTTTTGTATTAAACTAAGTTTGGTATTGTAGGGATGACTTGTTTGAAGGGGCTTATCTCTAGGCTTGTAAACGAGTCAGAGCCGAGCTCGAACTTAAGGTGCTCGAGCTCGAGCTTGAGCCCTTAACGGCTCGGCTCGTTAAATAAACAAGCTGAAATCGAGTTGGAGCTCGGGCGTTTATCACTAATAACAAGTCAAGTTCGAGACTTAATCAGCTGACTTCGAGCTTTAACAAATCGAACTATATAATATTATATAGAAATTCTCTTTTCGAATCTTAACGAACTTTATCGAGCCGAGCTCTTAACCAAACAAGCTTTAAATGAGTTTGAGCTCAATTTGTTTTTCAAACGAGCCGAGCCGAACTCTAGCCTTAACAAGCCGAGCCAGGCTCGTTTAATTTAACAAGTTTTCCCATAAGTTTCGTCAACTCGTTGAAATTTTTATTTCAACTAGTTAATTAATTTTACCAAACACTTTTATTACATCAGCTAGTACTTTTTCAGTCATCAACCATAAATTATATATTAACTATAAACTCGAAATTCACTTATCAGTTATCAACTCGTTTTTCAGTTGGGTTTACCAAAGATATCTTAAAACCACACATGAGAAAGAGAGAGTGTTTTTTTACCTGAAATGCTGAATTGTTGGTGTAGCTGGTATCACCATTTCCATAGTTCATGTGCACATTTACTTGTTGAGTGGCCATTTGCTCTCTTGTTTAGAGATGATATATGTTTAAGTAGACAAGAATGAATCATAAAAATAAAGTAGGCATTATATATAGCAATGAAAATATTATTGTTAGACTTGTCTAGTAAATACTAATTATTTAACAAAAATACATTGAATACACATATTCACATGTATTGTGCATTATCTTTCTTAATCTTATAAAATGAATCAATAAGAATATTGTAGTCAATAAATAAATTTATCAAAAATACATTTCCCATGTGCTATGCATTAATTAAGCCTGTGACACATTTAACCATTAAATACGATTTTGCTATGATACCAACAGTTGGCTCCATAGTGGAGTCAAGCTTCTATATACAACAAATAAACTTACCATATTAATAAAATTATATTAATGTTATATAAGTAATCAGGGAATATGATAAGTTTACTTGTTGTATATAGAAGGTTGACTCTACTATGGAGCCAACTGTTGGCTTCATACCAAAACTGCCATTAAATATATCATAACGTGAGAAAAACAATTTAATTAAAAACATGACATTGTTTAGTATAAAATATGAATATTTGCAAAAAATGTAAGGGATCGTAATACAATTTTGCTATAGAGTCATCGGATGACTCGACTTATGGAGTTATCCATAGTTATTCACAAATAATGTATTGATACGTGTCCTACAATAAATACACTTGGGACATGTGTCAATACATTAGGTGATTGATGGCTCCAAAAGAAAACCATTCGATGGCTTCATAGAATTTGATGCGCAGACCACCTCATACAATATTTTATGATTTTACATATACACGAGAAGTTTAAGAGGGAACTTAATTAATACTTAATTCATTAACTATACTAAATATCCTACGCCTCAATTCCTCATAAATATTAAATTTTCCTGCCTACAACTTGATCATTATACAATAACTAATCGTGCGATGCACGAGTTAGTTTTATTAAGGTAAGAATTTATATTTGAATGATTGGAACGTAAAAGCGCATGTATTGGAATAAAACAAAATGTAACTTATATATTATTAAACACATCTTTGCACACAACATTATTTGTTTGGTCTTTTGGTACATAGTTTATCGCCACAAATTATATTAGGATTCTAGATAGATTTAAATAAATCAATTAAATTATTTAGTAGGATATATATGATATGATTTATACTGGTTTTATGAAGAGTGCATAGCCAAAATATAATGGAGATTGTAAAACGTATTTCTTGATAATCTATAACATTATTATTTTAAAATTATAATTTACTTAATTTAAGGAAGAGAAATAATGTGTAAGTGTATCAATTCATTTCAAGTTTGTATTCTAGAGGATTAAACGAAACCAATTTTTACGATTTCATTTTGAATTTCAAATTAATATTATTTGACTTTGTTTTATTTAAAAAAATACAAACTAAAGAAAGTAGTAGTCAAATGATAAGAGATTTTTAAATTGTAATTTTCAATTTGAAATTGGGTATGATTTATATGGAATCCGTTTATTTAAATAAACATGATTTGTTGCAATTAGGTAAATATACATGTTACAGTACTCGCCTAATTCGAAATTTCTAATTTTATGGTAAACATTTTTTTATATAAAAAATTCGAGAATTTTGACTTTTACAAAATTGTCGTGCATAATTTTATCTAAATTATCTCGATTTCTATGAAATTCGATTTTTTTAATAAACAATAGATATGTTGCAATTAGGAAATGGTATATGTGATAGTATTTTGACTAATTATAAATTTCCAATTTTATGGTAATTCATTTTTTTATATATATAAAATGAGAAAGAATTTTGGCTTTTGCAAAATTGTAATCATCAGTCGAAATTTATCTAAATCAAATTTACAAAACTCATAAATTTAGGGTCCATATATAATTGCTCAATATTTTAGAAATAATTTAAAAGGAAAATTAAAGAACTACCAAATATAGAATGCAATAAATGTTGGTCGACTCTTCTTGTTACTATATTTAGTAACTATGTTCTCTCTTTAAGTATGTATAAATTCACTACAAATAATTATCATATATTCACATATATGGAAATTATGATGGTAAATTATTCCAATAAAAAATTCAATGTTCGTTGAAAAATTCGGACGGGCTTTCAAACGGGAATCAACACTATAAAATTATGTTGGAAATCAATTTTTCCTAAAATTTTAGCCGGAGTTTGATAGTTCCAACAACTATTTTTTATCATTTTTATTGTATCAACACAACAATTGATTTCCTCTAAATTTTATTAATAGGTGGAGCCAATGTGAACAAAGTTAACCATTAGACAAATATATTTCAATAAACAACATAAATTGAAACATAATATATAACCCTATGAAATTACATTCATACAACATAGTACACGGGTATTTAAATATATTAATATTTGTATAGTAAGAAAATTAAAGTAATTTATATTACTATTAAAAATGATATATAATGAATATCCAACAATAATTGCTAACTAACAAAGTGATAACTAAATTCAAATGGAACCCACATTTTTACACTAAATTTGTCAAAAAAAAAAAAATAGTAATATTTTTAAAATTATATATGTATAAAATTGATATTATTTACAACTCCATATATTTGATTAGAATTTTCTTAAAACGAAACAATTTATTGTATTTCCATTATATTTTATATTTATAGAGTCGGTGTCTCTTATTTATTAATTTTTTTAGTATTTTAAATTCATATATTTTAATAATTTAGAATATTAATGTACTAAGAAATGTATTATATTCTAACTTTATGAAATATAAAAATATTTTATTATATATAAGTAGAAATTTTTTTATATTTATTATTTAAAAAACACAATAAAATTCAAATTTTTGTATAACCTATTTTAAATTGAGAAAATAATACTTTTCATATTTTTTAAAAAAATTATTTATGTAATACTTAATTTCTATATTTTATTTGAAATCTATTGAGAAAATACATTAAAATGATTATAATGGTGTATTATTGAATTAGATATTTATTATTTTTATAAAATAATTGATATTGTTATGGAATACTTGAATTAAATATATGAGGTTTGTTATGGAATGCTTTGGATTAAATATAATTTACTATGGTATTAAATATTTGGCTTAAACAATTAGGAAATGTAATTATAGTAAGTCCGAACCTGTTTATTTTGGAATGTAATTATATTAATTTTTATCCGAGCCAAAATACGAATCATGTAATGTTGCCAAGTAAGATTTTGAAGCGTGCAAGCCAGCCATTTAGGCTCAGCACGTTTTGAAATTATATAAAGGGGGGATTCAAACTCATTTATTTGATGTATATATTATGTTGACATAATTGGTGATATTAATTTCAATAGATATGCAATCTTCCAGTTGTGATATATGTTAAGAGAGGATCCTTTTTTATATGAAATTAATGGATAAATTTGTTTTCACAATAAATAAAAATTGCTCTAAAATAAAATTAAAAATATTTTTAAAATCGAAAATAAAGCTATATTGTGTCATATTTAATTTGAACAATCGATTTGAAATTCAAAAAATTTAATTTGAAATAATTGATTAGAACATTTACTTCAACATAATCGATTTGAAATTCAAAATATATAATTTGAATAATCTTTTTGGTATGGTCTGACTCATAGCTTGGTCACTCGAAAACAACCTTATTTCTGTCATTATTTTTTGACTATCTTAAATATCAACTAAAAATAAATCAAACAACTTGAGCAGTAACCTAATTCAATCACTACCGGTTGATCGAAATATAATTTCTTATTTTCTTTAACTTTAATGAAATAAAAAATATTTTATGATTCATGTAACAAATATATATAACAGATGACAATATATTAATATTATAAATTATATTTAAAGATAAATTAATTATTTCTTACTTTGTGCATACTTATAAAAAACAAATAAACATAAAAGTTTTTGAAAATTTAAATTTAATTGAGTGATTATGCAATTGTCACGATAACTTGATACTAACATGAGTTACTACAGAGGAGAGATATTTTTCATATCAATTATTATACTTTTAAACATAATAATTGTTTCGCTTGTATAAGCTTATATCACATCACTTTGAAAAAATAACATTTACTTAACTCTTAATTAATTTATTTTATACCACTATTTTATTTTTCTGATGAGAAAGTATACAACCTTTTTAATCATCATGATGCTTTTATTTGTAAAATATTGTAAATGTTCGATTTGCGATATGACTAATTTTAAAATACTTTTTCTTGGATAAAGGAACAGATTATTCGAATTATTTGAGATTTATAGTGAAAAGCATAATACCAAAATTTATTTCGTCCATTTTTAAGTAAATATTTTATTTTCAAATATATTTATTGATATGTAAATATTTTCAAGAAAATATGACACATAACTTGTACCAAAAAAGTGTATAATTTTTTGACCTACAATTTTAAAAATTAACGTGCATGATAAGAAGCATAGAAAAAAAA